TTTGACCAATCCCGCAATCGGCGTGAATCATTAATTTATTTTAATATTTTTATCGTATAGTTGTTAAAATAACGGCACATTCGGTTTTCACAGTTTTACAGACAATATTTATGGTATTTGCTTTCCATGCAGGTATGTATATTCATAAGACTTGCTATAACGGGAATTTTTGTTTGTTATTTTACTTTTTATAGTTTTTATTAAACAATATTTTTTTGAAATTTTTGTTCCATAAATCATGTTATGTTGGTAGTGCTAAGTAAACTTTTATGAATTTAAAATATAATAATAATAATTTAAATATACCCAAGTAAATTGTATAGAGTGTCCCAAATTCGAGCTTTATCAATGGGATTTTGGAAACTAGAATAGATACGAGGTCGGATAAATGGAGGTAAAATTGGGCAATTTCATGCTAATCCAAAATTCCCGAATACTTCAACCGATTTTTGATTCACGATTTAATTTTTATCTTTTTATGCTACTCCGAATTTTTAAACTCCTAAGGTGGCATTTTGATCAGCATCAAATTGCACAACTTTTTTAGCCTCTATTTAACAAACCTCGTATAGATTCTAGTTCACAAGATCCCCGTGATGAGGTTTACATTTGTGTCGCCCTGTACAATTCTTCAAGATTTTCTATAGTTAAGTAATACCCATAATACATGCCATAATCTATGTCCATTTTGTGACGCTCCGTATCTCATTGACACCAATTATACACCCATATAATTTTCAAATGGATGCTTTCACTCTTCAACTGAACTTAATTTGCCAAAATAAAACATCAGCGTATTCACAATCATACTAGTGTCTAATAAATAATGAGAAGATATAATATACAATTTTTTAAGTAGCATTAAAAATTAATTAGAGAATGAATTTCTTAAATTATATCAAAACAATAAACGGATGAAGGTCTGCTTTTATATTTTACCACAATCGTAACCACACACTATTGGTAGTAAAGTTTATGATCTGAATATGAAATTTACGATGTAGACCAGTAATCATAAAAGGGAATATCTTTTAATAAATAGGAGGCATATCCCAATTTTCAAAAAATTCTATCACCGGTTCTGCATAAACGTCTAACATGTCATATATGAATGTGAACAGGTAAAGACCAGAGTATATTATGGTAATATTTCCAAATTCAACACATCTTTGTATCCTTAAATATTTTTTTGTTGGCTCGAGCAGTCACTGTTGAGACCGTGCTCTAGTCTCCATGAACTGAATTAGTTATTAATGAATGTTCCCTATTAATTTTAGTAAGTATATTTGAGGTTTTTTTTTCGTATTTATACTCAAAACTCAAATTTTGAACGATCTATAGCTAGCGACATACGACTAATTTTTTTTTTCCATAGCAACTGTTAAAATTGCCTTATATTTTTTTTTTTTTTTTTTTTTAAAATAATTACTTTAACCCGCAAAGGATAGATTAAATGATACTTTAACAGCGAGGATGGATTAAAAACTTTATTTCTTCTCCACGTTTTTTAATTGCTTCCATTTTTTAAAATCTTTGTATTCCTTTTCATTTCAAGTTATTCCAGATTTAAATGGAAGTAGTTTTTGGATATGGCGTTTGTCGCCTCAGCCTGAATATCTGTTGGTAATTTACTTCTTTCGTTTGAGCCATTTCTGAAACAATTTCAATCAACAAATCGACACGAAGAGAATTAAAATGTGTCAAAACTGACAACTAAAGAGGCAGCTTTATTTATTTGTCCAATTGCAAACCAACATAATGGCACAATATCAGTTTTCTTTACATGTTAGATTCCTTGAAATAATACTTTGTGAATATTTTTTAAAAAAAAAAAAAAAAAAAAACTGGAAAAATATTGTTTTATACACGACGATAAAATTGCAGTATCGTAAAATGCCATTTTATCGTCTTGTATAAAAAATAATTACAAAATAATAATGATTTAGTATGTAATTTCCACATTAATCATATTTCTTTTTTTATATGCTCTTATTTTTATTATCAACCAATAAAATCAATGATAGACATAAACTTCAACGAGCAGATTAATATCATTTATCAATCAACAGTTGCTAAACGTCTGATTATCTCTGACAAAACTGTAGATCGACCTCGTTTATTTACGATTCAACATTTGTTCGATATGAACAAATTTAAATTATCATTAAACTTCCTGGCTATTTATTTAAAACCCAATAAAATTTTCTTTTATACCTTCTCATTATTCGAGTATTAATCAGTTTTGATTTTAATCCTGTTTAATTTGATATCGAAACCTGTCGCACAGAAAGTAAGTAATGATGTTTATTGTATTTAAAATTATTTTTAAATTGGAAGAAACTAATAGTTTCTAATTGATGGTTCCAGCATTAATGAATATACCATGATCTATATATAAAAATGAAGATCGTTGTCATTTTATACAGAAAACTACTGGGTGACGTTGCATCGTCGTTTATGTAAACAGTAAATCCCATACAAATTTTGTCCAAAATATGTTTTAAGGTCTGCGTGTTGAATACACATGCCAAAATTAGAACAATCTTGGACAAACCGATTTTGACTAATTTGTTAAGAAAGACTGCATCTATTTTTTAAATTAAATCTGAACAAGGTAACAATGCAAAACCAGGCAAATGTTAGCATACCTTAAGTTGTCAACCCATGATTTGTCATTTATCAGAAATATGATTTTTAAGGTATTTTAGGTATTCCGTTGCTTACCTTCGTTATGGTTTATGTTCCATTTTCTATCGGTTTCTGAAGGTTTTCTTATTACGAAACACGGTTCCTGAAAATTCGGTTATAACTGTCCTGTCACCAAACTAACCAGCGCAGGAGGGCTGGTTTTCTAGTTTGTTTGTCAATCAATTATCATTGTGTGACAGAAATCAAACAAATATGGGAAGTTCGAGTGAAATTCGCATTTAATTTCTAATATTTGTAATAATATTTTGTATTTACACCCAAAAAGTATTTGGGGTGAGCGGTAAAGGAATTAAAATGCGATTTAATTAACTAAATGGGGTACTTTTTAGGACGATTTAAACTTATCATGCATCCATTGTTTCTTAAAGGAATCAGGAACTTTAGAAAACATGAAAACAAGAGACAACAAAGTAATCGTGAATGTTTGTAAGCTATAAAAATATAAATATTAGTTAAGATTTGTTTATTTAATATTGATCTGTTTTACAATAGTGGACCTGCAAATCTTCACTTGAGCTGTTTAACGAGTTTAACAGTTTATGAATAGAATTACTTTTCAATATTAAACTCCACTGAAAAGTGCAAAACAAACGTAAAGCAGAATAGGTACATTAAAAATAGATAAAAGATTAAATTTTATAATAGACGTATTGGAAATTTAGAAAACGTTAACATTTGACGTTTCCAATATTTTACCAAACCATTCCGTATCAAACCGATGTTTTTCAAGAACTGCTCTTTACCGTAGTTTACCGGTCTGGTTCGCCTGGTTTTGCAAAGGAATGCAGCTTTAATATATTTAATACTAATAGTACTTTATTGCTAATTATTATAAGCTACACATTTGAAAGTAAATTCACCATAGACAATGCTAGAATGCAAGGAATCTTAGGCAGTGTATCTGATATATATTTTCGGTTAATTTTCCTGATAAACCAATTCCTATGAGGTCAGCAATATAAAAAAGTTATTGCTGTTTGAAGTCAAAGAATCTCTAATAATGAACTAGTAAGCACAGTAGGCAATGGCGAAAAGAAAGATATTGGAATGAAGAAAATAAGAATAGTAATATAATTGTTTTTGGAGAAATGTTATTTTACAAAGTTTATAGAAAAAACCTTACATCCAAAATAACCATCCAAGTTCAAAGTTCCAACTTCTGAAAGTTCAGATACTCAGGTAATTTCAACCATGTTCAATAGAATGTTAAATTTACTTCAGAATAAATTCATATATGTGGCATCCAGATTATGGAAGAATACTCTAATGATGGTCTTACTAGGGTATTATAAAATATTGTTACTGATAACGAGGTCTAAAAAGTCTTTGGTATTTCTACAGACAAAACCTAAATTCCTGTTTGCTTTTGATATTAAATTATCACATGAGTAGTTTGTTAAAAATTAATCTGCTTGTCGAGCAATGAATATTCGAAGGTCCTTAGCACTGTATACTCTGATTAAGTTGTTGTTATTAATGGTATACGTTACTTGAAATTTGCTTTTACCCCTAATAAAAATAAAGGGCATTTATTAATGTAGTTTTGGGATGGCTTCTGTCTAGTCGTTAAGTAGATTAATGTCACTCTGCAGTTCTACTGCCTACAGTCTGAAATGGTTTTTATGTCCCTGACAATATTGGACATTGCATCCTAGTAGATGACTTTTTATAATCAACTAAATGTGGACTATAATATCACCCAAAACAATTAAAAAATTTTCATTGTTTTTTTTTTCCATAGCAACTGTTAGAATTCCCTTATATCTATCAAAATAGATAAAATAGGTACTTGTAACCTGGGGGTAGATAAAATGATACTTTAGCAGCCAGGGATAGGTTACAAACTTTATTTCTTCTTGCACGTTTCTAATTTGCTTCATTTTGAAAATTTTTTGTATTCTTTTCATAAGTTATTGGGATTTAAATGGAAGTAGTTTGGATATAGCGTTTTTCGGCTCAGCCTGAATATCTTTTGGTAATTTACTTGTTTCGTTTTGAGCTATTTCTGGCACCAATTCAATCAGCAATCTGACACGAGAGAATTAAAAATGTGTCAAAACTGACAACTAAAGGGACAACTTATTTATTTGTCAAATTACATAGAAACCAACATCAACCCATCACAATATTTTTCTACTCATAATAAATTCCTTGAAATAATAATTTCTGAATATTTTTATTTATATCTTATAATGTTAAGTATATACCTAAAATCAAAGGATAAAATACCATTTTATCGTCTTGTGTAAAAATAACTATTTACACCAATTAAACCAAAATAACAAACTTACCTTTCGTAATTCAATTCGTAAATAATATCCAATCGTCGACCACAAAGTTTTAATCAAGGCCCGCGCCGATTCACGACCGTCGTCAAAAGCCCGGCGCGTGAAATAATCGAAGAAGTAAATATACACCGACCACCGTACACAACCAGAAGCGTTCGCTGATCGTAGCCACTTCTTACGTGGTACTGTTTGGCCGGTACCGCTGGTTCTTCGGCGGTGCCTCGTCCCTGCTGCAGTAGACACAAGTACTGCCACCTGCATGCGCCAATCTTTTTCGGTTACGGTGCAAGGTGTGGCGGCACGAAGAGTACCAAATGGTTTTGATTTATGGTGCGTTTCGTGTATATGGAATTTCGGCGGTCGCGTCTTCTTTGGTACTATGATGGTATCTTGGAGTGTTTTGAAAGTACTGGTAACGGGTTAATAATCTTCAAAATTTACTTCTTAGAGACCGTTATGTATCTCTGATAAAGAGGTAAACGCTTCTTATCGCTTATACATAAATAAAGATAGTTGTAGTTATAATTACAACATGACAATATTAAAATCCCTCTATTATTTACATCTAAAGATATTAAAACAATTATATCCATATAGGTAGATATATAAATTCTAGAATGGCAGGGTAGACTGGACAAATGATATATCTATTCAAGACTACCGAGGGTGCCATTTAAAAAAAAAAAAAAAAAAAAAAACAATATACAGAGTGGTCCGAACTGTATTCCGGAAACTGCGGCAGCGTATTCTGCAGATAAAATAGGTAAAAGTTCGTATAAATGTATGTCCTAAAATGCTTAGTTTCAAGGAGATACAGGGTGAAGTTTGATTTTTATTTCGATTTATCAAATAATTCCTGAAGTAATGTTAATATTTGGATGAAAATTGATTTTTTTTTTTTTTTTTTAATGAATGATAATTTTGATTATGATGTCAATATGACTCCCTACTTGTAGAGGGGCGCCACCTACATATTTTTAAGTGGTTTGAAGGTAATAACTTTTTGTCGGTCCCTGTATAGAGCTACTGAGTAAAAATATGATTTACGTTTTTTAACGTAAAAGAGGTCTCTTGGTAAAAATCCTTTACTAGTAATGGTTCTGGAGATATTTGGAATCAAAATTATCAATACCTGTCATCGGTGACATAAATTAATTAAACATTTTAACTTCTTCAAAATTTACTTATTAAAGACCGTTATGTACCTCTAATAAAGTGGTAAACGTAGAAACTTCCTTTAAGTACATACTATAAATAATATTAGTTTGTATAGTTAATTGCAATATTAAAATATTTAAATATCTACCGGCTGTTTCTCAAAAGTGGTTCCTATAACTTTTGGTATGTTGGATATGTAATTATAAATTAAGTTGATTGACGTATGCAGTTGTTTTCAATTCGGTCACTTCCTGTTTACGGAAATTACTATAACTTTTAGTTTTAATTTTTTTTATTCGATGAAAATGACACTTTGAATAGAATGATATTACATGTCAACTTTTGACATTTCGCTTAAAAAATTGTATATTGAATTTCAATCTAGGTGCCATGGATGTGGTAAAAACACTATTTTTTAATCCAGGGTATGCGGGTTAAAAGATCGTATTTTTTAATCATATCTAGATATTTTCAAAATGGAACGAGGGTGGCCCCGTTAACGTTATTTGGATAAAGATTTTTTGCCAATAATTTAACACACACTTAATATTTCAGGTCAAATTGTCGTTATGTTTTTTTTTTTTTTTTTCAAATGGAAATCATATGCGAAATGCCAAAAGTAGTGGATAGAATTACATATGGTATGTCATTCTATTCACAGTCATTATTATATCGAATAAAATAAAAATACTACAGTGTCATTTAAAATCAAAAGTTTTATTAGTCATTTCCGGTGAAACGGGAAGTGACCGAAAATAATTGAATGCGCCAAACAATCAAGCCGTTTATATCCTATACTATCAGACTAAATCCGCATTTTTATGAAAAATAAAAAAGAGTACAAAAAAAAACAGTTAAAAAAAAAAAAAAAATTTATATAATTTATGTTTAAATATATTAAAACAATTATATCCATATGGTATGTAAATTTAGATATACCAGGTAGTCAAGAGTGGACAAATAGTACATATATTCAAGCTGAGGCAACCTGATATACAGACGGCTCAAGAACGTCACAAGGCTGGAAAAATAGAGCTTAAACATTGAGTAACTCTCCCCGTAAGCCTATCAGGGATGTCCGAAATTTTCAGGTGGAAATAATGGTATATTATGTACTAGAAATAATAAGGCTGGAAAGGACACACCGTCCACTTTCCATTTTCACAGGCACGCTAAAGGTACTAACTTAATTCCACAGAGGTCAATCAATCTGGTCACAAGGGTAAGGAAAAGAACGACAGAAGGCAAAACAAGGCTCCATCAATGCGATCCATAGGTCCAGAACACTTCTGCTTTTCTGCAAGAGCAGTTACGAAAATGGTCACGAAACAGTGGGTAGTCCAGAAATCTCTAGAATGTTGGAAAAAGAAACATTTCAAAATAAGGTACTAAGAAACGTAGTTGGTGCTCCATGGTATATTCCAGACGAGGAACTCCATTAGAATCTAGTGATTGAACTTGTCTTGATGAATATAGAGGTAGCTGTATTACTAGCTGAGGCAGTTTTATTTCTCAACAACAGTTTTATCAACTGAAATTAAAATACCTAGTTAAAGTTAATGTTACTAATTTAGTTTATTCCTGATCATCTTACTAATAAAAACCATAATCTAGAGAAACGTGTCTTCTAATCCCTTCTTGTGTTTTCCTTGGTTAGTCAACACAGATGATTTAAAATAGAATATGTACTACCATTTTTTTATAATAAGGACCACCCATATTTGAAACAATTCATTTCATTTCTGAAAGTCGAACAGTACAATTATGTTAATTGGTACCAGTGATGCAATATTACAAATCTTCAGTTAGTCCACGATCTAGTTTTGGATTTTAAAGATAGCTATTTTAGCGTGCGAATGTTTTGATTTCAATAATATTACTAAAATGGCTTTATTACAAAATGGGAACGTATAGATTGTATCTTTACTGTGGGACTATGTCTCGTTTGTTTTCTTACATAATATGTTAACTTAGTTAGAGCTAATATTTACCTTATTCTTACTAGATCTACATCCCTGTACTGTACAATCTACTGGAAATCACAGGGTGGTCTGAACTATATTCAGGAAACTTCGGCAGTATATTCTGAGATAAAAATAAGTAAAAAGTTCGTAAACTGTATGTCACTTAAAATGCTTAGTTTCAGAGATACAGGTGTAGAAGTTTTGTTTCATTTCGATTTTTTTCTAAATAATTTCTTAAATAACGTTTTTTTTTTTTTGAAAATTAATTTTTTGGTGTCTGGGAGTTTTGGCATGAGAAATTTGATTTTGATGTCAATATAGGTCCTACTTGTAGAGGGCACCACCATTAATTTTAGCTGTTTGGAGGCGTAACTTTTGTCCATTACCTGTATAACTACCGGGTGAAAATATACATCTCTGTGATTTTTTACGTAATAAAATATCTCTTTACAAAAATATCATACGAGCAACCGTTCTTAAGATATTTAGAATGGGAAATAGTAAATACATGTCATTATTGACGAAAAATAAACACGTTGTTGAGTAGATATAGTTAGGTATTTCACTAGAATAATAAATTTGGGAAATTTTTTATTTTTTTAAATTAATCATAAATTTTTCTGCAAAATGATGACAAAACGGTTTCTGTTGAACATTTGGCACACAAACATTTCAAATTTATGATTTGAGTCTAGCCAACTATAACTATTTAGTAAGCATGTTTAATTTATGTCAATGATGACAAGTATTGATAATTTCTATTCCAAATATCTCAAAGCCATTATTCGCTGTGGTTTTACCAAGGGAACCTTCTTCTTATTAAAATGTCGCAAATGTATATTTTGTTACTCAGTAGTTCCCTTATGATTTTACCGGACGAAAAGAAGTTATTACTCTTCAAACTAGTTAAAAAATATGTAGATTGCGCCCTCCAAAAGTAGGAATCATATATTGACATCAAAATATTTTTTTTAATGTTCGAATTAAGGAACGTAAAGATTATTTAGGAAAAAATCGAAATAAAAAATGAGCTTTGAAACCTAAAATTATAACCTGTGATTTGGCAAAACTTTGACAAACCTCAAAAATCTAAAGGCGAGTTCACACTTCATACGCATCGGCGCGGCGTCCGTTTGTCGTTCATCGTTCCGTCAAACCAATGAAATTAAAATAATATAAAAAAAAAATTGTCATTTTTAAAATAAACCAATAAAACTAGTTTAAAAGCAACAAGAGGCGACGCATGACGGTTTATATTTAAATCCATCCATAGTCAACTTAAAAATGTGCCGGCTTTTTTGGTAAAATAAATGGATTGGTATGGGACGTCATCTGCTTTTCTTCTGTGGAATTAGAGTTAGTACCTTTAGCGTGCCTGTGAAAATGGAAAGTGGACGGTGTGTCCTTTCCAGCCTTATTATTTCTAGTACATAATATACCATTATTTCCACCTGAAAAATTGTCACATCCCTGGATAGGCTTACGGGGAGAGTTACTCAATGTTTAAGCTCTATTTTTCCAGCCTTGTGACGTTCTTGAGCCATCTGCATATCAGGTTGCCTCAGCTTGAATATATGTACTATTTGTCCACTCTTGACTACCTGGTATATCTAAATTTACATACCATATGGATATAATTGTTTTAATATATTTAAACATAAATTATATACCAGATGTTTTTCAAAAGTGTGTAACTTATAACTTTTTTATTTTTCGGATAAAAATGCGATTTAGTTCGATGAGTATAGGATATAAATCACGATTGATTGACGTATTCAATTGTTTTCGGTCACTTCCTGTTCCACCGGAATGACTACAACTTTTGATTTTAAATGGCCTCTCAGTATTTTTTTTTATTTTATTCGATATAAGAAATAACACTGTAGATAGAATGACATACCATGT